TCTGAACAATGGTTTCTTCACTGTCTAGAAAAAAAACAAGAATACAAAAACAGCAACGCCTTAAAACATGCTATCAAGTCACCTTCTGAGAGTCAAACGATCGGAAAAACAAAAAAAAATAAAAATCTGACTTGACTCAAAGAAAAACCTTCCTCTAATCCAGTGAGCAAAACATTGTTCGACTTCTAAGGCACCAAAAGTGCTTCCTTAGTAGGATGGATACTCCACCTGCCGAACACTGAGCTGAAAGATCCCAGTCTGGAGGTTGCATCTCCCAAACTATGCCATGGACTTAACCCCGAGCCTTCAAAACAACGTATTAATGTTTGAGCTGGTTCGGCTTTTGTAGCGCAACATCCTTAGCAAAGCAATCCCAAATACACTCCATGGGACTGCCATATATGCCGATCAATTGACCCCTCCAGCCACCCCTGGCCTGATCGGCATCTATGGCAGTCCCATGGAGCGTCTGGGAATGGCAGTCCCATCCTCAGGTTCGGTGGTTGACCCCTCCGAACCCACCCCAGTCCCACCAAACCTCAGGAGGGGGCGGCCGAACGGAGCCCTAGGGACCAAATACACTGATCTCCGTCCCCACGCGAGCGTGCAGGACACTTCGACCGCACCTGCAGGGCCTCGCTCGCCCGCTGCCGCCGCGTTTGCGCGCCGCTGGGGGTTCGGGGCCACTTCCGCCTGGGCGAAGGCAGGGATGGGTTGGATGGCGGTGCCAAAGAAACACACCCTTTGGCCATAAGGCAACCTACAGTCTTAAGGCAGGGAGTGGTCAGTATGCACACACACACACACCAAGGTCAACCTATGCGTTGTGACTAATAATCCTTGGGGCCTCCATGGATTCGGGGTCGGACCATGCATAGGCCGGATCCCACATTCGTGGATTCTTATGATTCTTCTTCATACCCTAGTGCTCCTGGCCCATATCCTCAGGTTCGGTGGTTAGACCCCCCCCCCGGCACCCAACCCTGGCCCACCTTCTCCTCAGGAGGGGGCGGCCGAACCGAGCCCTAGTAGGGCTAGTTCAGTGGCAAAGTTGTTCTACCCGCTAAGGATCCGCACCCTCAAAAACAAGGGTTTGGTTCGGGTACATGAGGGGGCCCAAACCCTTGTTACTATAGAGGGTTCGACCCCGACCGCCATGGAGGGTCCGGACTCGGATCCTTAGGGTATGAAACCCGTCCCTTTGGGTCTTGGCCTTTCCCTTCCATCTCGGCATCGGGTCCTGGTCGCCGGTTGGCCTTTCGGTGCCGACGTGACGCTGAAGGAAGCAGGTCCAAGGTCTGCGACCGGGTCCAGGAAGCAGGTCCAAGAACATCCAAACACTTCACCCACAAAACACCAGCTTATGTGGTCGGGTCCGATGATTCTTAGGGTATCCCATAGACTCCACGGGACTGCCATATATATATGCCGAGAAACGGCCAGGGGTGGTTTTAGGGGTCAACGATAGGTAAATATGGCAGTCCCATGGAGCTTCTGGGTATGAGATGGAGCAGCTCTTCATGAATTGGTGGATGGTCGACTGATTGAACCAAGCACTAAGTGTCAGGTAATGAGGGAGGTTTTTGAGGCACAATCCCGATCCGATTTTCCCAAGCCACTCTCCCAAAGTGGCTCGCAAGACTTTGGCGGTCCACTTGCAGCGGGCACACTGATACTCGTCCTGGAAAGGAGCAGCTTCAAAGGGCTGGGCCTAGAACAGCTACACCGGGAGCTGGAAAATGGCCGGCAGCACGACTGCTTTCGTGTTAAATCCAATGTGTCAGAGTGTACTTCATTGGATGATGCAAACGGTTGTAAACGTAAGTAAGGGGTACGGAATTTCCCCAAACATCAAGCATCTGGACCGCAGTCGCGGCACCTGTATAGTCTGTTCCGATGCTGGGTCGTGGTCAAAAACACAGAACATGATTGGGACAAATCAGTAGTGACGTGAACTAGGACCCTACAGTAGTGGGGTACCTGTATGAGATTGTCTATAGGTTGGGTCTATCCCATTACCAGTAACAGTGGATGATGCTTAGTAAGGGCCTTGTTCAAAAATATATAGTACGTGTTACTGACTGTTGCAGGTAATAGATGTCACAGGGCAAACCCAATCTATAGGGTTCTTCAGCCTCTGTTGGATGGATCATCACGGTCCTTGTGCAAAGATTCTGCATTGCCAAGCGCCTAGTGGCAAGGCCCTTCAATTCAAAGTGTCAGCAAACACAAAAAAAGACGCTCTATATACAGGTTTTTGCCTTGGACCCAAGCTAATTTTCCCAGTCCCTAGGGCTCCAAGTACCTTCTCAGGAGGTGTTTGAGGTGGGTTTGGGGGGGTCTAAGTCTAAGTACCTTCTGAGGAGGCACGGCTGCACCCTAGGGATCCCTAGGGAAGGGATTCCGAAGTCCGAGGCACTTTGGAAGCACCCAACCATTCTGTTCCGCTCGCTGTTCTAACCCCTCTGTGGATTGCTATGCTGGAGAGGGCGGTGTAGGCAGCACGTTTTCAACTGCAGCTAGCTCCATCACTGTGGCAACACATGTGTTTCATGGGCACGTGAACTGGATGAACCACCAAACACGTCAGCAAATCAACCCCTCAAAAAGGCAAACAAATGTATAACTGTATCACAAGACCCACGAATGTGCCAACTCCAAGTGATCCGCAAAGATCTCAAAGACAGTAGAGCTGGCGTAGCTCTCTACCTGCTACCCTGTCATCTGTGCCCTTCACCCAGTCTGCGCTCTGTCAACTGTGCCCTTGTCCCAGTTCCTGGTCCACCTCTTGAACGGCCACCAAGGGCTTCCAGGGTTTCTTTCCACCTGCGCGCGGGCTGCGGGTCATGGCGCCAGGCGGACGGTACCACCGAAGATGAACGTCCATGAGGCGAACCACCTACCGGGGGGACTTTCAGCTCCAGGTCTTCACGAAAACCACCTGCTCCGTGGGTTTGGTCGAAAAAACGCGATCTTCACCACGGCACCGCCCTGGGAGGGGAACCTGAGACCTCCATGTGTCAGCCCGTTTCGGGCTCCGAACGTGGTTCGGTGGGCTCCAACCCTCCTCAGGAGGTGGGCCAGGAGCCCTAGGGTAGATGTTCCGCGGGATTTGGGACCTGAAAAGAAGCCCGGATAGCATTGGCCCAGCATTGGTTTTAATGGTCTGAATCCCGAAGAGAGCAACAGGTCAACCATTTCAAAAGTGCTTTGAAGGCCAGGGGAAAAATGAACCAACAAAAAATACGGGCCTGTTATGAAAACATATCTATTTTGGGTGCCTCTCATCTTAGGCGCGGGACGAATTGCGCGATTCGTGAATCATCTTCAACGTGTCACAAGTGTGCACTATACTCCCTAAGAAGTCAATTTTTTTTCGTGACGTTCCCAGCAGTTTTTTTTGAGATCACCTCATCACTGGGGGGAATGCTAGTTGAAAGACGATCCTCCGTCGATGTCTGCATCAGCTCCACATCGTCGCAGGGGCGGGAGCGACGGCCTGCTCGTCGCATGCCCCGCGCGCTCGCGATCCGGGACCCAGAGAATTCAACCCGACGTGGTGTTGGGGGTGCATGTGGTCCTCTGCAGGGGAGTATTGGCCAAATTCCTGCTGAGTTGCTCACAGGACACCAAAGGAGAGCGCCCAGCATCGTGTGCAGGGAGACTGCCATGGCACAAGGGCCCAAGTTGATCACGGATGGAAGAAACACTCGCTCATACCAACAACATATCATTCTACAAATAACAATGTGGAACAACACTGACATGTACAATTGAAACACAGCTTTGAAGTTCGAAACCTTTGATTTTCCCTTCTCTGTGCCACACTGCTACGATGGACAGTTCTGCTTTGGACACATCCACCGATGCGTTTCGTTCATAATGCTGGCCCTCAAATTGCCTTGATAGGTAAAATGCTCTCATTCCACAATGGATCCCGTTTAACATCTGCCACTTCGTCACACCAATGAGCAAACAAATGGGCTGTCCCTGACCAATGTGTTCGCTCTTCAGTTGTGCAAAACGCTATCTGCTACCTCTGACCAATGTGATGCTCATCTGCTGGTCCGAAGCTTGCTTGAAACGGCCCGAGCAATTGGCGGCCGCCATTGGTGGGGAGCGCGCTCCTGAAGAGAGCAACATCCGACGAACGAAGCGATAGGCAGATTGCACCAGTCCAGCGTTTGGTCTGTAGAGGGCGTCAATTCGTCAATTCAGCCAGCGCTGGCCGCTGGCCAACAGCCTCAATGGGCTCACTCAGTTGTTCGACACCTCAAGAATCCTAAACTGACATGTGCTCGCATATTGAGCTAGGACGGACTGCATCAAAAACCAATATACCCTAAGGATCCGCACCCTCAAGAACAAGGGTTTTGAGGGTACAAACCCTTGTTATAGAGGGTTCGACCCCTTCTAAGGAGGGTCCAAGGATGCTTAGGGTTATATATAACATAGGGAGACCTCCCAGGCAACGACCCTCTAGAATAAGGAATGTTGACCAAAGCCGGGGGTCCACCTGGGCGCCAAAGCTCGTCAAACGACCGCTGCGACCCTTGCGGTCTCACCCCGACTGGTCATAGGATGGGCTTGAAGCGACAGTCGATGGGTCGTACAAACCAGGGATTGTTATGGAACATGGAACAGCATAGATGAATGGATGCCCCATGACCAGACCTCCACTTGAAAGGGTAGGTGGTTGATGGACACCCACAGCAGGTCCATGTCCCCGGTCAAGAACGGACCTCAAGTTGGTCAAAAACACTACAACCCTAGGGCCCCTAGGGTTCCAGTCGTACCTCCTCAGAAGGTATCTGGACCCTCCTGGCACCCACCCCAGTCCCACCTTCGAAACGAAGGTACTTGGCAGGCTTCACTGGGTCAGATTGGACGTACGTAGGGTATGTGTTTTCCAAACACCACTTCCAGGACCCCTGGGTGCTGGGAGAAGCTTTTTGTCTTCGCCACATACGACCCCCCAACTCCGGCTCCAGCCAAGGGGCCACGGCCAGACAAGGGCGGCGCGCTCCGTTGCCTGAGTGAAGGTGAGTGAAGGATGTTGGGCCTCAAAAGGCGAGAAGAAGGACCTCGAGGTGCTGAGGTATCTAATGCAAAACTCTTGATGAAGAACCCTCTCCCATTTGATTGGAAAAGCCTCAAGACTATATGTGGGGGTTTATTAATCAAGAGTCTACATTAGACTCTTGACTATATAATATGTCAATCCCCAATGTGAAAACAATTTACATCACTTTACAATCCAAATAAGAAGGTCTTAGTGATCAAGAGTCTACATGAAGCCAGCCCAAGGGCCTCCAGCTAGTCTTTCTCACTTGGCTTGCTCAGCCACCCAAACGCATTCCTTATAGTATCCCCTATAGGGCTCCAACCATATCCTCAGAAGGTGGTTAGACCCCCCAAACCCACCCCAACCACCGAACCTCAGGAGCTAGGCCAGGAGCCCTAGGGATCAATAGTCTTTGAAGGCTAGCGGCTATAGGAGCGTCACAGTCGAGCCGTCCCGTTTCACGGAGCGGGCTGCGCTGGGCAGCTGAACCCGTTGCGACCCCGTTTCCACCACCCGCGCTCGCGACCTGCGGGTTTCGGCCCACGGTCGGCCAGGCGCGGTGGGTCGTCTGAACACCTACTAGCAATGGCCTCCAACCTGGCCTCCAACCTATATAATTACTAGCGATGGCCTCCAACTGTGTGGAATTCCAGCAATACCTCGCAGAACACTGAAAGGACTTTTATCTTCCTAGTGTCCCGGCAAGGCGGTAGCTCAAAAAGATTGGGGCGTGACACCGCCTGCCCCATTGAAGAGTAGAACGTCCTCTTGGGCAACCATTTCTGCCTGTGATGGGTGGAAGCACCTAGCCTTGATCATTTTGATCCGTGCTTCGGCGTCCAACCCCATCTTTGGACGGCTTCAATGGAGGGTGGGGTGCCATCTGCCAAATCACACGACTGGTGATTTGCGTGAAGAGAATCCACCCGGCCAGGACTTCGTGGTGTGCTCCTCAAGCCTCAAAGGACTTGAGGCCATTCCAAGGGCCCCGTCTGTGAGAAAAGGGTCAACACCAGCTGCCACTGCTGCGACCTTGGCAAGCGTGGAGTGAGTTGAAGGATCTCCAACCTCCCAAGTCATCCCTGGTCCGAAGTGACAGAGCCCCACACATCCACACCCTGGACTCAAGCATTAGCCTCCCTAAAGCAACCACGGAAGTGGAAGGTGATCCCTAAAAGAAGCACACTCAAACCAAAAACCATCGATCTACAAACAGGGGGTTGTCCACACGGAGTGTAACCCAATGGTCTAACATCGCTTCTTCAACGCCCTGAGCCAAGCGCGCGGGCGGGCCTTTTTGTACCAAGCGGCATCTGGAGGACGAAAATCCTGAATCAATACTCAAACAGTCTTTGCGTGTCTTTGCAAAGCCTGGCCAGCCCTGCGGGCTATAAGTTAACAAGACCACACTGGCCACGGCAAGGGATGATATCCGAGCATGGCCAGAACAAGGTGTGATGTCCAATACAGTTTCATGTCGTACACTCCCCGTGACCCCGGAAAATAGCCGTTAACCTTTTTCCACCTGTGAGATGTTTCATGGCGAAAGCAATCCACCTCTCACTGGGTAGGAAGACCAACTAAAACAACCCAGAAGTCATCCCCCCTTGCTTCACCAAGTTGGCTTTGGGACATCTTGGGCACCAGAAAACCTTGGATTTGGCTAGTGGAGCCAAGGAAAATAGGGAACAGATTCACCAGAAAAGGACAAGTACCCATAGGGAAAAAACATTCTAAGTTACTTTAATTTAAGTCTATATTCAATTTATTTCTAATGTGTAAACACCACCTTATAAAACCCAGGATAAGGCTTTCTTCAGGAATGAAAGGGATGCACCTGGACATCAGGGGGACATCAGGATCAGGAATGACGTTGTGCGGCGGTGATTTGGTTGCCAAATCCACACCACACGACAGAATGACGAGAATGATTTTGGTTTACCCTAAGGATCCGCACCGTCAAAAACAAGGGTTTTGAGGGTACATGAGGGTACAAACCCTTGTGAACTAGAGGGTTCGACCCCTTCTAAGGAGGGTCCAAGGATCCTTAGGGTAACAAAGAATGCCCGAGCACGCCGTGGAGGTGCCAAAGCATTGCTTTGGCCAGCGTGCACTTTCGTCCCTTCTTGACGTCCACTCAACCGACATCAAAGACATCTCCTCCTTTCAGTAGGTGTCGTTCCGGACGTCCGGCAGTACCATGGTGGTGCAAGCAGCAGAGAAGCACATCAAAGCAAACATGCTACAAGAGACCTTGGCAACGAGGCGGAGTATCTCCAACGACCTCGACGTCGTCTTTTCACGGCGGTGCCGACGACGTCGGTCGCCGAGTTGCGAGGAACTTGGGATTGAACATGTCCCGAAGAAAGGAGAGGATTAACCCCTAGGGCTCCTGGCCCGCCCCATCTCCGACCCGGTGACCGGTGCTTAGACGGCACCCACCCCTGGCCCACCTTCTCCTCAGGAGCTAGGTGCCCCAGGGAACCACGCCCTGTCGCTCGGAGAGCGATGTTTTCAGCCTATGGCCGTCGACCAGACGCAACCGAGTTCCTCTGCCGTGTGTGGCCAGGCTGACGCCTCCAATGGCAAACACCAAAACAACCAGCACCAGCACCGAAAGGGGTCACATGCCCGGTCTACGCGCTACTTCTGGATCTCCAGGACGCCGAAGGAAGCCCGCTCGGCCGTGTTCACTCCCTACCCCTCGGACTGGAAAGTCGTGGATTCGGAAACGAGCAAAGGGTCGACAAAACCCTAGGGCTCCAACTACCTCCTGAGACGGTGGTTAGGGTGCCACCTTCTGAGAATATGGGCCAGGAGGCGTAGGGAAAATGCCCCCCCCCCCCCCGTCCGTGCCCCCAACCCTAGTCCTGGCCCATATCTCCTCAGGTGACCGGTGGTATTCGACCCTTCCAACGCACCCACCCCTGGCCCACCTTCTCAGGAGGGGGCGGCCAAGAGCCCTAGGGGGCAAGGAACATATGGACGCTGGGACTCGCTGGTTCATCCGCGTGACTCGCGTGACTTCATCCTTCCACCTGAGCTACCAAGCCACAGCGCTCGGTAAGGTGCCGAAGAAGGGTGCCAGCAGAGTCCCCACACGTGCAGAGGTTTCGCAGGTGGGCAGCGCTGTGGCCTGAGCCATGGGAGTGAAGATCTCTGCCTCAGATCTGCTGGGACGAGCGAAGTGGCTCAGCCTAGCCTTCCCAAAGCATTTGTTCAACATGCCCTATGGATCCACATACCTTCTCAGGTACGGTGAGGAAGGAGACCCAAGTGCCATCCCCTGAGAAGGTGCCAGTGGATCCCAGCACCCGAAGCACCTTGGGTCTCCCACCCTTTTTCAGAGACCCGCTCAACCTGATGGTGGCATGGACCTGACTGGAAGACTTATAGTTTTCAGGTTCCATGCTAATCTTCCAGGGCGCGCGTATATAAGTTCAATCCGAAACCATAGCTGTGAGTCGTGAGGGTCAAAAGCCCTGAAAAGTTGGGAAAATCAACACCTCGACTCTATACATCTCTATATATAACCATAACCCTCTTAGGGTGGCTTGCTGAGATCCAGTTCTGCTCCTGACTCTCAAGCCATTTTGATCCCTGGAAAAGAATGGTGAACCGGACTTTCCACCTGTTCTACGGCTCATTCCAGTGCGACTCACAGTTACCCTCGACACCCTAGTGAAATTGGTGCCACTTCATCCACTTCCTGTGAAGTGCAGTGCCACGAATTCCCCAAACATCCCACGTACTGTTTTGGGATAGCTTTCGACCTCTTTCGACCAGACCGTTCCGCAAAGCTTTCCTGGGTACCGCGGCGATCGCCGAGCCATCGAAGAACACCGATCAAACAGGAGGCACTCTCGGCCGTGCCATGGGTAGGGCCCTTGGCTCGGAGACCGCTCGAGCCACGGAGACCAGGAACGCAGTCGACGCTCAAAACCACGCCGCGGGAGTCTCAAAGTCAGAAGAAGGGCCACCCCATTTAGCTTAGCTGGGCATTTGGACTCTTTTGATCTCTTTTTTAACTCGCCTCCACCTCGGCTTCTCTCTCCGTCCCAGATGCCAAAAGCCCGTAGATCGTCAGGAAGCACACGTCCAGACCCAATCGTCCCAGCATGGCGAAGAGCACCACGAAGCTCGAGCTGGAATCGCCCCCGCTGCAAAGGAGTAAGCAGCAAGCTGCCCAAAGAAAGGACCAATACCTCACTCCAAGAATAGGAGAATGAGGTTTCGGAGTAGATGTTCTTTCTATTTGCGGGTCTACAGTGGGTGTGGGTCAAAACCTCATCCAACAAACCATGGAAGGTCACTTATAGACTTATAGGATCTTATATTCCCTAGGGATCCGTTGTCCTACCGAACCTCAGGTTCGGTACGACGAACGACCCGACGTGACTGGGCAACTACAGTCTCCAGTGTCGAACACATCACCTGAGGTTCGGAACGAAAACGGATCCCGATCGGGCACAAATGTTCAAGTTGGGTGGTTGCCCTAGGGCCCCAAACCATATCCTCAGAAGGTGGTTGGACCCCAAAAACCCACCCCAACCACCGAACCTCAGGAGGTGGGCCAGGAGCCCTAGGGTTGATATGGATCTCCATCTAAAGGACCGAGGTCATAAGCATTCGACAAACCCACAATTGAACCTCTCAAAGCACGCATGGCCCAGTCGACACTCTTCAGTGGAGAAGCTCACAGACCTTCACTGCCGAGACGACTCGCTTCACTGCCGGATGCACAGACCCTTGAGAGGGGACACGGAAAAACATGTCTCCCATCACCTGAAGGGGTATGTGGGATCCGGAACCGGACTCAAAATGGTCTGGCTGAGGAAAAAGAACATGGCTTCTGGCATCACCGAGCTCGTCTGTTGGGGGCCAACGAGTCCTGGACTTCTGAGAAAAGTCTGGAGTACATGCCCCGGAGCCATTGAATTTCGACTAAAACCAGGAGCCATTTGGCCCATGATTGCTTATAGGGAATGATTCGGAATGATGACTTATTTACCTACATGGATGGGCCGTTTTGAGATGTGTTAAGAGGTTTTGTGAGTCAATGTAATAGTCAATCGATCGGGTCCTAAGCCCAATCTTCCAGTCCCAACTCGTTGGGTCATTGGTCTTCTGGTCGGGTTGTCGGGCTCGATCCAACTTCGTCAACTGCCCTAAGAATCAAGGACCCTCAAAGGTGAAGGTTTGAGGGTCCAAACCCCTGCGTTCTGCAGGGTCAAAACCCTCCATAGCAGGGGCCAATGATCCTTAGGGTGGGATGATGCCGGTCAGTTCCTGCCACACATGTCTAGTCTAGTCCTGCATCTTAGGATTGAAAGGGTAGCAATGCATCCCTAGGCCCTGCGATTCAAACAACAATTGGTTTAATGGTCTTTTCATCGAAAAGGACCAATATAGGAATACCAGTTGCTAAGAATCCGAATGGGCTCTCCATGGCAGGGGTCGGACCTTCTCCACCGTTTCACGCAGGGGGAAGGTCCGGGCCCAGTTCCCAAACCCGAACTGTGTTGCTGAAGGGGCCCGGATTCTTAGGGTACACCAGGTCAGCCATGTTTTGAATGGCCGACCTGAAGGCACATCTAAAGTGGCCAAGTCTCTGAAGTTTCTTCTTGCCGACCCATTCGGCCGTCAGCACTGCGAGATATCCCACAATATCCGGCAACGCCAGCAGGATGGAGCTCCTGAGCGAAAACCCGATTAGGACCAGGTCCAGTCTCCTGGTCCTGAAACCTTAAAGTATATATAGGGTGTTTTGGTCCATATGCCCTGCCAGGGGCCCTCAAAACCATGCAAAAATACTGGTTTTCACGCACCAAAACCATGTTTTTTTGTCTAGGGAAAGCCAGGTGTTTGATGGTTTGTGGGGTCCCTGGTGTAAAGAACAAAGACGTATAGGCATACGGGTTAACCCAGGTTTCAGCGGATGATGGTGAGGTTACAGGCTTTTCCATCTCCAAAAACAACCCATAGACTCCATGGGACTGCCATATATGCCGACCCATTGACCCCCCTGGCAC